ATTGGTTCATTTAATTTTTCTCCAGTTTCTTCTGACGAAATCAAAAAAACTATCCTTTCCATCAAATCAAATGCACTTGGATGCGATAAAATAAGCCGACGCATGATAGTCCCTATCCTTGATCACCTTCTTCCTGCGATCACCCACATCATTAATTTTGCATTGGATACTGGATCTTTCCCTTCCTTATGGTGTAATGCACTTGTGCGTCCACTGCCGAAATGCCCTAATCCCTCTCTTCTCTCTCATTATCGACCTATCTCTATATTACCCTTCCTTTCTAAGGTGCTAGAGTCCTGCGTTCTTAAGCAATTTTCTCACTTTGTCCTTAGTAACAAATTGATAAGCCCCCTACAATCCGGTTTTAGACCTGGCCACAGTACCACCACCGCCCTCCTTAAAGTGACTGGTGATATTAGGGCAGGTATGGAAAATATCCAAGTTACTGTTTTGGTATTAATCGATTTTTCGAATGCCTTTAATACCGTCAGTCACGGCATCCTATTAGCAATCCTGTCCTATTTAAGGGTTTCCGATGAAGCACTGGAATGGTTTTCGTCTTATCTTCGAGGGCGCCTACAGGCAGTTAGTATTGGTGAATTGTCATCAAGCTGGCTTAATCTTGCAAGTGGTGTCCCTCAAGGCGGTATTCTCTCTCCTATCTTATTTTCAGTTTTCTTCAATGTGCGTATCATCTGTATGCCGATGATCTGCAGCTGTATACACAGGCGACCACTGATAGGCTCCCAGAAATAATCGAGTCTATAAACAAGGACTTAGTTGCCATCAAAAAGTGGTCTGATAGGTTTGGCTTAACCGTCAATCCATCAAAGTGCCAAGCTATCATAGTTGGGAGCTCCCGTACTATAAGTAAAGTGGACTTGGGTGATCTCCCGCAAATTATTTTCAACGGTTCTTGTATTCCAATCAGCCGTGAAATGTGAAAAACCTCGGTGTGTACCTTGACATGACGCTCAGCTGGAATGCCCAAGTTAATAGTGTTTGCCAAAAAGTCTCAGGCGCCCTTCGATGTCTATACCGCCTCAAAAATTTCTTGCCGTCAAAAACCAAGGAATTGCTCGTGCAGGCCTTAATTTTCCCTGTAGTTGACTATGGTGACGTCTGCTACTTTGACCTGAATGCAGATCTCCTCAATATACTTGACCGTCTTCTGAATAACTGCATTCGATTCGTTTTCAATCTTCGCAAGTATGACCATGTATCCTCTTACCGTGATCAACTTCAATGGTTACCTATACGTCAACGACGTTCCCTAAGAGCACTGACTACTCTTTATTCTTTCCTGAACTCTCCTTCTACTCCGACTTACTTATCCCATCATTTTCAGTATCTATGTGCAGTCAGCAACAAAAACCTTCGCTCTTCGCAAAATCGTCTTCTTGAATGTCCTTCTCACCGTTCTGACTTCATGCACTCTTCTTTCTTTATCCAGTCTATTCTTCTGTGGAATGCACTCCCCCTCGAAATCAGGTTGGCTAAAAGTCGCTCTATATTTAAAAACAAAGCTTGTGAGCATATTTTCAAAAACTTGTCACGGTAGATCAATTCCATCGTTATGTTTAGAGTATATTTATATATGTATGTATATATATGTGTATGTATATGTAATTATATATATATGTATTTATATATTATTTTATATATTTATTTATATATGTAGTATTTATATATTTATTTATATAAATGAGTATGTATTACGTATATTTTGTAGTATATTTCTTATGTTATTTTCTATATAATTTAGTACTGTATTTAACATAAACATATATACATTACATAGTTTGTAAATATTAGCATTTTCCTTGTTGGAAATTTCTCTGTGCACCTACTTAATTTTCTCTGTACCACCCCAAGGTTGACTGGGAGATAATGCTTTTAGCATTAAGTCCGCCATTGTACTATTTGTGCATAAAGGATAAATAAATAAATAAATAAAGGGCTATGAAGAATTGCTTCGTCTCGAATCAGCGTCTATCTCGCCACGTATTAAATAAATAATACGATAAACCTGTACGATATTTCTTCATATGTTTTGGCTACGTTTTTTACCATTCGCCCTCTGCCTGTCGTCAACCCACCTAGACCCGGAGCAATCATCTGTGGGTCACACAAATCACATAACAAGTGTACGATATCTCTTATCGCATTGTAACGAGCAAAGTTGTTTCGAAAGAAACCACTCGGGGAACCAACCTAATTAAGCAAAACCTTGAACTGAAAGGAAACTAATAAGGTATTTGTTTTTTTTTTGTTTGCCATCGAGTTTATTTACAAGTGCATTTTTTATTAACCGAAAACAACACCGTCTTCAAATATCTCGCTCTGTATTCATTTTATGTTTGATCTTGAGGAGTTCCCTTCGTATCTCCGGAGCCCAAGATCCAATACCAATACAAAATTAATACAAAACCACATGGGAAGCACCAGCTTTCAAATAAAAAAGAATCATCGAAACCGGTTCACCCGGTCGAAAGTTCTGAGGTGACAAACATAAAAAAACGACATTGAGAATCTCCTCCTAGTTTGAGGTCGGTTGAAAAGGAGATACTTTAGAAAGGGGACGGTGGTGAAAGGGTTTTACGGTGGTAGGGCCACGCAGCAGCCTCGGCTGTTGCACGAATGGGCAGGCCCGTCCGGGTAAGTACCACGACCTCACAGAAGACCAGCGTAAAGTGGAAGTATGACAAATACCTTCGCGTTTCGTCTGGTGAGTGAGGTGGCCGGAGCCCAATTTTCAAAAGGTTGTCAACGCATTTGTAACCCTCGAGTGTGGCAGATGTCCATTGGCGGCGGTTTTCACTTAACATCAGGTGAACCGTCTGCTCGTTTGACAACTTTTCGCATAAAATAAATAAGGGGAAAAGTGTATGTTGGACCAGCAGCGTGGAAAACGATCAGGTCTGGCGCGGCGTTGCTAAAAGGGGCTGACGTGGCGCTCCGAGGGCAGAGAGGCGCGCTAAGTCCCGGGAAGACTTAAAGCCGATTACTTTAAAAGCGCGCTGAAGTAACTGCGGACGAGTCGCGCCGTCTTCGCCTCCTCCGCCAAAGTTGCCAGTAATTAAATCTGCCGCCATTTTAATTTATATCTACTATTACCTCGATCGATTTCCCCAACGATATTTATACAGTATTAGTAAGAATACATTTTTTATTTCGCGGTAAACTTGCTGGTTGCAAATGAGAAAATGAAAAACTGTTTGCAACTCGAAACTGAACGGAACTCACGACATTTTCAACTTATTTTTCTATATTGACCATCCGTTTTTATTAGGGTTCCGTATTACCGTTCATTAGTTTTTGATTTTCCTTTTATTTTTGAAGACCCCAATGGCGTGGGGAGTAGTGATCCTGCCTCCTGCGCCAGGGTGTGTGTTCGATCCCCACTACTGGAAAAATATTGTGTGAAGAACATAGTGTTTTTTCAGTGTCTGGGTGTTTATATATTTTTAATATGTATTTATTTACAAAAGCAAAAGTATCTATTAAGTATGTTTATCAGTTATTAAAAACATTGTGAAAAAAATGTGTCAAGAAAAATCAAAACAAAACAAAACAAAAAACTTCCCTACAAACTATTTATTCTAACGCCCGCTTTCTGAAACACTGATCACCGTAGAAGTCAACTAATCAGCCGTCAAATGGCTTTTCAAATCTTATCCTTTAAACGAGCAATTCTTGCATATATGTATATATACAGCGTGTCGTTACCATCGCGACAATAAATGAACACACGTCTAACCCTACTTGCCAATAATCATAAAAAAATATTAACGTTAAACAAAATCCATAATTAAAAAAAATATTTTTCATACAAACTAATTAAGTAAAAAAGAAAAAAAATTTGTAACATCCTATACTACTCGCGCCACAGTGTCGCATTACAAGCCTCTCCTTCTAACAGTATGTTTTGTCTCTTTTAAATTTATTCAACTCATTCATATGCTTTGTGACCTTTACCAATGAACTTTACGTTACAGTTTTATACGTAACGGTGTTCTAAAATTCTTTATTTTTGAAAATTTAATAACTCTGTAAATATTGATGTTTAAAGAATTTAAATGTTTAATACAACTTAAAAAGCAATTAAAAAGCTATCCCTATATGTGTGTTCATTTATTGTCGCGATGGTAACGACACGCTGTATATATACATATATGCAAGAATTGCTCGTTTAAAGGATAAGATTTGAAAAGCCATTTGACGGCTGATTAGTTGACTTCTACGATGATCAGTGTTTCGGAAACCGGGCGTGTAAGTCTGTCGTTTGTCCGTCCTTCGCTCCGCGCCTAGTCCGTCTCGAGAGAGGCGCAAGATTGCGCGCCGCTTTTTTCGCCCGCGCCGGGAAAGTGGCCGGGGCGAGTGTTCATTCCGCATAGTTGGGTGCGCGCCGCGGCCGTTTTTATAATCGCTTAATGCGCGGTCTCGCTCGCATGGCTGCTTTACGAGCTGTCAAAGTGTGGGTCGCCATATCGGCTGCGCTGGCCGATTGTTTTACACGTCGCTGATAACCACAAAAGACCCGACGAACAAAGCATATGGTCATTATTAGCATCCATCAGTGATGTTTTATTAGTGTTTAAAATTGTTCCGCTTTACATTGTATGACAATTGAAATATCTAAGTGAATGCGACAGATGATACGGCAAGAGGTAGCAAGCAGTCTATAGAATTGCAATCTAATTGCACCAATTGGCGTAATTTGCGTGCCTCAGTTTCGGTTCGCGAGTGACATATCTACCTCGTGTTCATTGCCATCCATCGAAATATTATTTGCTTCAAAACCTACAGTCTACACACAAGATCTCTGAAAGTAGTTGTCATATGTAACTTTAGGTACAAGCGGTTACATTCAAATATAGGACGACATATTTAAGCGACTCGTCACTTAGCAGTGGCGCGGCGTTCGCGATCCAAAATTCTGATATCGCTTATCAGTTCATCGTTCCGCGGGGCAAATAGCCGACGCCATCTTATTATGCATGCGCTACCGTAAACGTCGCGCGCGCATTATTCTTGCGTTAGACGCGTCCGTACGCGCATTAGAATTAGGCACGGCGTTACTAGGACGGCAGAAGCGCGGCAGCACATGGCGCGGCCGCCGCGCGTCGTCCGCCCCTTTGTCTCCGCGATTACGTATGCAAATGACGGCCTACACCTGTGCCGGTCATGATCGCCTGGTACACGAACGTCTATATGGAAACGAAAAACGTTTTTCCATTCCGATTATGATGATGATGACTATTTGGTTTGTTTGTTTGTTTGTTATCATGCTCCTGCCCTTATCCCACATAGGTGGGGTCGTTACAACACGTCAATCGTGTTGAAAGCGGTTTTGGCTATGTTTTTTACGACCAGCCGCCTGCCTAATGTCAACTCTACCTGGGAAAAAAACACCCAGATCAATTCGTGTGTGGATCACACAAATACTTGTTACGTGTGGGAATCGAACCCACGACCCCGAAGCCAATAGCTTAGCCACGGCGCCACTGAAACATCTGTTTGTTTGTTATGATTATGCAAAAATTGCGATCACAAAATATCAGTGCAACAGTTGTACCGATACGAATCGCGCATGAATGCGACGGTATGAAGATGTAATCATCTGAGGCACTTCTTGAATAGTCTTGCGGGTCGCAACAATGTTGCGTTCGCGAAGCGCCACTCACCGACGCCGTGGTAACACAAGAAACTGACCGGGAGTCGTTTTTCAAGGCAGCCAACGCAATCCGGTCGAGTTTGCGCGGGAGAAGTATCCGTGAAAGCTAATCGACCTTAGGTTTAACCGTCGTGCAACTAGTTCCCATTATTGCGACTTTAAATCATCACCCGGTTAATATAACGCACAATCTTTTGAAAGATTTTATCAAAGTTAATAAGCCCGTTTAATTGTTCAACCAAGGTATCCCGTTTAATAACGTTAAAAACGCGCTAACTTAAAAAAAATACAAAATTGTAAAAAGTTGCGCGGGGCTTGGTTAAAGGTCTTTCGGGTTTATTAACTCTAGAAATTATATATTTTGATGCATAAAAAGTTGTTATGGCGGAAGCGTGTGAGGCTTTTTATCAACGTTTTTACGATTTTACCTACGTGAAAGAAACTCTTTGGTCTGTAAGCTCGGGCCGTTAGGAGTTAGCGCGCACGCACACGCATCTAGCTCGCTAGGCAGTTGGGCGTCAGAAAAAATGAACAAACGCCGCCTCGCTGGCTGCCTTTAAATATTAACCGCGCGGACATGCATCGATATTGGAGATCCGAGTCATTGTAACGAACTCATTAACATGTAAATTAGTTGGCCACAACAATAACCCGGCCGGGCCGAAACAAAAAGCGCTTTAGAGGATAAGAAGAAAACGGGCGATTTTAATTAGAGCGGTCCCCGCCCCGGGCGGCCGCCACCAGGCACCCAGCACCTCTACGGACTTCACGAATTACGTTTTCCCGCCTTTTGTCTTATTTTTTTTTTATTGTCTCAGTGCACCGGTCATAGATAATTTATGGACTTACGAAATATTTCGATTTCGTGAGCCCGATAAATATTTTTTAAACGAACTATCCTTTTCTTTTCACAGCTGACAGTACAAATAATTCTTGTATTTTTTTTGTTTTCCCATCAACTATATTACAATGCAATTGCATTTGTTGCAACTTAAAAGTAGCACATATTATTGCACTAGCTACTAACTACAGCACTCACTAAAATCCGATAGAATGCAATTTGTGCACCCCTCGTATGAATACATAAATAAATTATGAATCCATTCCGCTTCAATGATTGCAAAACATGTAATCAAATGATGGTAACGTCTATTTATTCGACGTTAGACAACATATTATGAAGGTAAATGTATCAAGTCGAGACGGAAGGGCCCTTTACTTTATTGTATTTATGTTCGCAATATCGTTGACCGTTCGAAATCAAGTGTCAGTTTACTGCCTAGAAGTTTGTTTTTACAAATATGGTTGCCATTAAAAAAAAGCGCTAACAATGGCTTCCCCTGTCTGTTTTAAGGCTGTGGCAGCCCGTTAAGGCAGTTAACTCACATTTTCTAGTGGCGTACCGTGTTGAGGTGTAAAATACAGGCGTGCTCGCTCCTTCTCTGTCCCGCCAGTAGCATGTCCGTTGTTGGGCTTTTCCTTTTATCTTTTTAACAGCAGTAGCTCTTTCAAACGCTCGATGGCCGCTAAACAGTTAATTGTCTAAAAATATATGTGTACTTATGTACACACGTAAGTAGTTATTCGTCTTTGGCGTAACAAAAGAAAAATGACTAAAAATTACGTGAAAAAGACATTAAATGCAGTAATTGCATTGCAGAGAGTACTTGCACAGGGGTTTGATAACAATAAAATGAACAATAGAATGTCAAAAAAATTTTAGTGGTTGCCATAATACTGTGAAGTTGGTCATTTTGCAACCAACTTTCAAATATTTTATCGGTGTTTAAAAAAATATATATATTAAATTCTTAAACAAAATATTTCCACGATTAAATCTATCTAAAATTACATCCAATGTCATCATTTCGGAGTCGGGGTGCGCGCGCCTCGTAAAAATTTCACTATGATAACTTTATCCAAACGCGCCAAAAGGAAGTGTAACTTCAATAAGCATTTGCCATCTTTTGGCTAAGCATGCTAGTTTTAGGGAAATTAATTTCTGTGAGATGTCATGTCACTTTAAACTTTAACTTTCTTGTGTTTGTCTGGTAGCTGGGTAGATGATGAAAGCTCCAAATCAAGAAGTTACCAAAATTGCCTTTATACTACTTACTATAGGTAAATTAATGGTAGTAATAAACGCAAGAAGGACTTGCAACATGAGAAATTCCATGTTCCAGCCACTATGGCACCATTGCCACTGAAGCTTTGATAGAATGCCGTTAACCAGCTCATTGGTACTTTATTGCACCTTCGCAAAAGCACCGCTATCGCGAATTACGCCAAAATAAAACCACATAAGCCGTAACTTGTAGACATTGTTTGTGGACCCGGCGGCGCTCGACCCCAATATCTCCTTACAATATTCTCGCACGCGAAAAACACCGACCGACCCCCGTACATCATTCCCGGTCAGATTTAGCCTCCAAACAAGAGGGGAATCTGCATGGGAATAGGCCGCCGCGAATATCGGCTCAGCTATTTTATCATAGAAATGGCGGAGCGAAATAACACCGGCCCTATTAGCATACGTCCCCTTCAGCGGTGCCAGGCGGCGATGTCGCCTCGAGCGAGCCTTCTGGAAAATTCCAAGTCCTCCAGCACTCGGCGACCCGGGCACAACAATCCCGAAATTCGTTACGCGAAGACATGCCAAGAATTCTCAATAACGCATCCCTTAACCCAACCCTCGGGCACGTCTAGCAAGATATTGCGCAACCTTAAAACGTTACTGTCACACATACATTACATTCGCGTAAATTGTTCCCCGTTACAGAGCGGCCAATATGCCTAAATAACACTGACCCAGAGATAAAGTTGGATAAAGAACTTTGCCACATATTGTAGTTCTACATAAACATAAAAATAAACCTTTTAATTGAATGACTTACCAGTTTTTCATAAAGACCACTCAGCTATAAGTTGACTTGATTTCAACCCGAAATCAGTAAATCTCGGATGAACTCGTGGATGAAACCTTTTTGATTCAGAGCGTTCTTTAAAATACGCGAGTGATGACGTCATCATCTTAAAACACAACCAAGATAGGTTAATAATGAAAACATATCATAAAACAATTTGCCGGGTAATCCGGCCGGTGATTTACGGCCGCTAATATCGAGTGGGAAACGGCGGTATATCATAAAAAAAACGGTTAACGCACGTATTAGCTAGCGCCGGCAACCGTTTAATAACTATTATTAAGTCTCTTGACCAAATTCCCCGATAAAAACCAAGTGCCCGGTAGTTGAGTAGCTCCTGGCGAGGCGGCTTACGGTTATGTTGCTCTGGTACTACGTGTGCTAAGTAATTTGTAGGCTAGTGGATTTAACTAAAAAAAGTCGATAGGATTTATGTAACACAACTACTTTTACTTCCTATTTAAAATAAAAAAAAAAATATTAAGCCAATATTTGTAAATAAAACAGGATATTTGTAAATAAAACAGCTGTTATAAATTTTTACAACATCGAATGTTGCAAACAAATTCAGCGATTTTGCCACACCGCTATAGGAAAATATGTATTGTTTATCTGTGGTGGCCTCCTACCAACTCTCGTTTCATTCTCAATTTTATATCTTCTCCTTTTTTTGTCGAATACTTAAAGAACGTTATTTATCCGCTCCTTATCCAGTTACGTGTTTTGTCATTTTCACAAAAGTATAACAGAAGTATAAAACTTTACAACCGACATGGATTTTAATGCAGCAAAGTAAAATGTTAAAAAATTCGCCCACACGTTTGCAACAACAACAGAAGTGTCATTTTGACGTTGTCATAATAAATTTGAAGCTTTATTCGATGAGATTTTTTTTATTATTAGGTACTCCGCAACGGTTTTATTGTATTTAAGATGTCGTTTTGAGTCACTATCCTTGTTAGTATTAAAATCAACTTGCAATAAGTCGTTTTCAGCAAATTAAAAAGGTTGTTTAGACCTCGGGCGTTCGTTAATCTCTCATGCGCCGCGTGTGTAAGGCGAAAAATGTCAAAAATAGAGTAGAGGTGTGCGTAACCTTTAATGTGCTATAAAATATCATTTAAGTACTACAGATTGTCTCAGCAGTAAATATCAGTGGGATGGAATTGAGCCGTAAATGCGCTCGCGGGCTGTTTTTCACCGGAGCGAAGGGATCTTAGAGCGGGTGGTAGGAGATAAAATGTATCATTCCGTACATTTTACGCTCGCGTCAATCGTAAAGAGTGCATCACTTGGCCTCCGCCGGCACCAGGCGAACATGTGTCGTAAAGAGACCTCTTCGGCTAACAATTTCCTGATGGTCTGTAAATAGTAAGTTTATTGTCTTTTTATGAGGTACTCGGACCGTAAAAAGGAAATAAAAGAGCACCGCCGATGGTGATAATAAAAAAAATAATTTTCGACTCATCTTCGTGATTATCTCGCTCCGGTTTACGGGCCCCCGGCGCGCGAGAGCGGGACGGTGACACTTTACGGCGTGTCGCGGCGATGTGACCCTTTCCGCTGGATGGGCTAAAGGTCGTAAAATGGGAGCATAAGGATAATGTTCAGGGTTTCCTATACTGCGTTCCATTCATGATTTCGTTTTAGTACAGCACCGGTAGACATGTAAATCCGATTGCTCTCACGGCGACGACGCCCGTATCGGGAGTTTCCTCCCGTTACACGCTGTAATACGCGCCTAATGGAATTATCGTCGCTTTGATTTTATTCGTATCAGCCGAGCGTCTCTCGTCTCGGCTCGTCTCTCGGGCGGGGTGGGCCTGGACGTAGCTTGTGGGCTTATAAATGAGAAAGAGGACTCCCATATTTACGTAATCGCAGTCGATTACGTAACGAACGATCATAGCTGTACGAGTAAATGAATACGGTATCATCAGTTGATTGCCAAGAGACTGTCATTATAAAAGTTTCTTCGATGGCGCGAAGACGACAGCAACTGAAATTAGCAAGTGGCCGATAAGTGGTCCATTAATTGCGCGCCATTCGTTCGGCTCGGGCGAGCGGGGCCACGGGACGGGCTCCTAATTCTTAAGGGGCCGTCAGAGGACCTTTATGCGCCAATAAAGTTGCGTTGTAAAAAGAACGGAGGCGTCCGGGGATGAAGCGAGGGTAGGGCTTAACGGCGCGTTTAAGATGTGCAGGGCGTGCGAATCCGCCGGGCCGATTCAATTGTGCCCCGATTGCGCGGAGACAAGAGCCCCGCCGGGGGACTCGGGCCATTGTTCGCGGATTTGTAGCGGAAGATGTTGCCCGTGTAGCCAGGCCGCCGCGCCTCTTGACTTGTTGCCGCCTCCATCTTTCATGCTCCGTCCGACTCGCTAATTACGCGCGTTCAATTGATCCAATTTTGTCGTACATTTCTAATTCCTCCTACCGTACACCCTTTATTAAGAAGCGTGCGGCTAACGACGCCGCAGCTTGTCAGCTTACACAGACGAGTAGCCGGACGGCGCACGCTAGACACGAATCTGAGCAAATGATTCGGTAAGTCATTTGTTTTACGCAAACGTTATCGTAACAGTTCGATCGATGGGACCGTTCACGTGGACGATTCACGGGATGAAGAGGGAGCGGCTGCCGACGTGTAACCCTTCACGCTGAGCGTGTTATCGGCGGCCGTGCGACCGCGCTACGAGATCTTCCACCAGATAGCCCGCCAGTTGGGCTTAAACAGAGAGGTGGCAGCGGGCGCCGCGACCGTTTTATCGCCGGCCGGGCTTTATTTAACGCCCCGCATGCCGATTTTATGCGTCGGCGTCTCGGCGTCTGACGGGATCCCTTCATGGCCCTTTAAGCCCTTACGACGCGTATCAGATGGGTGGGGGGCGCTCGGAGGGCCGTTGAGCGGGCTACGCGCCATGACGGAAAACTCAGTCTCGTCTCTTTTTATATGAACACGTAACACGCTCTCGAAAATCGGACTACCGTTAAACGAGCGAACGGTTCGACTTTGGAATAACACACCGCATTTCGTTTCGACTGGATTCACTTTGTTACGATATTTGTACGACGTGCTGGTCACTAGATAACGGTGCGTTTGGAATGTCGAGTAGGTACATTAAGCACTGAACCATTTATAACTCGTAATTTTAAATAATGGTTTCGAACGATTGTTTTTTTTTCTCGATTCGCAACCTCCGCAAAGCTGACATCGAAACTGCGACGTAATATAAACCCGACAGCTGAATAATAGAAAAAGGTATCCACGAAACCGCACCCGCAAAGCCGTCGACACTTGCGCATTGTAATCGCGTCCAAATCGAATGATCGAGCACTCGAGCAAACCGAGTTAAGTTATTTGCAGCCCCACGCACTAGTCGCTAATCGAATCGGAGACCGCCACTTGGCGTCGTTCACGAGAGTTACTTTGTTAGCGGATTTTTGCGGGACCCTCGACAGGGGGCGCCATTATGCAGGCCCGTCAAGTGGCCTCGCGTTGTGACCTCACGGAGACTCGTTTGAAATTCGAACGCGGTACGAATTAGATAGCCCCACAGATGAGGATTGTGGCCATTTTAGCGGGAATCGTCTAATTTAACAACATCCACGTCGGGTTCTAATAAGGAAATAAAAAAAGAAAGACAAGATCAATAAAATTACCCCAAATGGCCAGTATTTCTGTAATGAAAATGATACTATTCAAAGCAATTTAAAACTCTTTTGGTGTTCGGCGTGAGATTTAATATTTAGGGCATAATTGTAGTACATTATCTTGCCACGAACAAGTACTGTAATTTTTAACGCAATTAGCACAGTTTAATATAAAGTCCAATCTCTGTATAGTAATCACTTGTTATACATATCGCATTAGATTCAGCCATAAAAGCAAATGAGCGCTCGTACAATGTTATGTCGCCAACCCGTTCAACGAAGTGAGCGCATTCGAATCCGGGTCTAAGAGCAGGCTACCGGCCACTGAACTTGCACATTAATATGCTAATCGGGTACATTAGCAAGCGAGCGGTTAATGATGTCCCAAGTATTATTAAATAACAAGGACTCGTTTTGGCGTCATTTATTTTCCTCTACAATTTGTACGTAGGGTCATCTCAGTGTGCATTTCATAAATAGGTGTCGCAATAAAGTACTGCTTACAGTCTTTTCCAGGCATTACAATCTTTTTCATCACGGCTCACTGAAATACTTATTAAATTAAAAGCGTTATCATAATATCAATCAATGTAAATTACGTTATTTTCTTTATGTGAAAAGTTGTCAAACGAGCAGACGGTTCACCTAATGTTAATTCACTTAACCGCCATCCATGGACATCTGCTACACCCGAGGGTTGCAGATGCGTTGACAACCTTTTGAATATTGGGAATATTTAACATATCTTATAATATTTAAACACTAGTTTTCTTTTCTGATTGCTCTAAATATTGTTTAACTGAGTAAAATGGTTGTTTTTGAGAAGGTGGCAATAGAGGCGACGGTTCACTTGATGTTTAAGTGATAACCGCCGTCCATGGACATTTGCAACACCCGTAGGGTTGAATGCATTGCCATATTTTAATTTAGTGGACACCGGCTACCTCACTCACCAGGCGAAACGCAGAAGTATAAAAGTTCAACTTCACACCGGTCTTCTGTGAGGTTGTGGTACTTACCACTTGTGCAACAGCCGAAGCTGTTGCACGACCCTACCACAGCTGAATCGTTCTTCTAAATAATACTTTTCGGAAACAACGGTCTCAAGTAAGGTAACCGAATCGCCTTTGTCTTAAATTACGGCATCGGAACGAAAAATCTTTGGTTTTTCGTCAGGCTAACCGCTTGCTTGTTTTAGGAACAGTTGCAACATCATCCTGGGTTCTAATTTCAGACAAAGCACTAGTTCTTTTTGTGCCTTAATAACAAATGTTTAATATGTATAGGTAAATTTACATTTTACGTTTAATAAAACGTTTTTCTTGGATAGTAAGTTTCCTAGTTTCTTCTTCTGCACTACAAATGATCAAGTATGGACGGCCGCATATCTTAACATTTAAATACTTTGTATAGCGTCAACCATACTTCGTTGCCAGGCGTGATGCAGTTTAATTTAATGGTTCCAAGTTAACCGTAAAAGTTCAGTGAAACCTTGTAACGGCTAAGTTCGCACGAATACATTTTCCCTGCTGTTTAAGACAACTACTCAAAACTATTCTCATTCATTCTCGTTCAGGGTTTGTTTAAACGGACCTCAAGTAATATAGACAAAAATAATTCAATATATACCATCCATCGACGATGATGCTATTGCCATTAAGGTATGACTTTAATAAGGACTTATTTAAAGTTAATACGAGTAGAAGAAGCTCTCTTGTTTTTCAGTCCAGTATATATATTTAACGACACTTTAGCTTTAAAAATGGTTGCCAGTGCTATGCGCGTTTACAACTTAATACCTTGATCGACTTCAATTCTAATAATTTCGGAATTCAGTGGCCGTTGCCACACACTAGTTAAAAATCAGAGCGCCGTTTAGACAAAGGAATCTCACAATCGTGTTTACGTCAAAACCATGCAAATCTCGCGTGCTGGGCCCCAATGAAATTATTATTCGCGCCAACGGTCCGCGATGGATGCTACAAAAACGCACAGTGCTAGCGACACCAGCGGAGACAAGCCACGCACGCGGCGTTGCCCGGGCTTCGTCTATAGCGGAATCAGAACTATTCGTGCAACAGCCGAAACTGTTGCGTGGCTCCATCAGTTGCCATGATGCAGGCAAGTGGACGAAGCAAGAACGACAAACAACGCGGGAGCGGATTTGCAAACCACGGGGCAAAACTAGTCATTTTTCCCTTACCGCGTCGTCGAGGAATCACCACATCCAGCCAAAGTACAATGCTAAGCACTTTCAAGGCAAGGGTGAAGAGCTCCTTCTTTCCACCTCTTTACATACAAGGCTGTTTATTACTATGTGCAGTTTTTGAGTATAAAACTAACCGCAACAGACAGACAGACGGGCTAGCCGCCACTAAGCGGTCGCTAGCTCATTCGGCATTCTCGCGGCGGGCGACAATTCAATTTGAATATTTGGACGTGAGCAGCGAGCGGTGGAGGGGGGCTCAGATTGTACGTTGGCGCGAGTTTTGTATGTATTATGTATGGGGAGGCCTTGCTGGTTTAATTTGTGCCGGTGTACGGCGGACGTGGTTGTATGGGCTGCATGGGCCGTGCACCGAGCCCCTAAGCACGCCCATGGACGCACCTGCAATATAGTAAAAGATTACTTGCTTCGATATGTCTGAATGACTGTCCAGAAATGTTCTTCCTCCCGGTGAACTATCGCTTTATTTTTATTGATTAAGCAGGAATAAATGCGTGTCTTTAATTATATTAGACAAAGTGGTCACATGAACATCAACGGCTGGTTTCAATATTCTACCTATCTGTAGATTTGATTACTGATTTGATCTGTAGATGGAATTATGACGTAAGTACTATGGAGTCAATGTCAAATGTCTATCGCTAGTAACCGAATCAACAGATGATGGAATACTAATTAAACGGCCGTTAGAGATATAAAGTGATTTCTTTGTCAAATAAAAGTACAATAGCTCGATTCAAGAAGGACAACTTATTTATGCCAGCCTGTTAGACGTGGCTGAACCTACTTCAGTCAAGCTGTCAAAAGATTTAACGTATTCCGTATTCTATCTGGGGAACTCGGGAGAAAGTTAAAGAGACAACGATGTCGCAGATTCGAACCATTCTACGGTCTGAAGGTGATGTGACGCGTACCAATATGCCGTGGTCTCAGCCCTGCTTAACATTAATTAACTGCCAGCGACCGACGCGACGCTCCGTCACATGACGCGGGAAATCTTTCGAAACGCATCGGAAATAGACTAAAGTATGACTAACGGCCTCTTTCACTGAAACTATGTGGTCCGTAGGCGACGATTCAGACCTATTTGTCCAGTTGCGAACGAGGAAGGCACTCATAATACTAAGAAATGAGACTACACTAAGATACTACTACGTACTAATACGTAACCCTAGAGGAGTACGCAGTGCGCAAGTGCGCCACCAACGCTTTGAGATGCTTTGGGCCACCGTTAAACTAACTCGAGGCGCAAAACCATTCCAACAAATACTTCCACTTCAAGGCCGGGCTTGAAGCCGTGATATTTCCCCACTGGAACCAGTCCATTCGTCTAGCAGCAGAAGACGATCTTAAAAGTAAAGAGCCAAAAGCCTCCTCTATGTCTTTATTATCTTTGCCCTAAAATTCAGGGGTTTTTCGCGTGCCGTGAGAATCCCAAACAGTTGACAGTCGTCGGCGCTGTATAGTTTAATTGGTGGAAGCACCGGATGCGCCTGAGGGGCCCTCCTGCACAGATTAAAACGCAACCGAACAAACACCGGCGGATGCTGTTTGGCCAGCGGGGGCGCACAACAGACCGCCTGTTCCCGCTCGAGTGTGTTTGTTCGAAAGCACTCGAGGAGTCAACGGGCGAGGCAAACACGCGGCCCACTACACGCGGCGACAATGGCCGACGGTTTAAACACCGACACCGATCCAATCGATCGCTCCCGTGACGTAGGCGGCGCGTCACTCGGCGCCCGTTATGAAAATATTTGTGGCGCGATCATCTCCCACCCGCGGCCGTTTGTTTGTCCAAACGCCCGCGAGCGCTGTTTTGATAATGGTATTATTTTAGCTCGTCGGACTCATCTCTCACGGCTCTTATGGCCCGTCGGCCCCACCGCTCCCGTGTGATGGATGCCACTTTGTCCGATTAGCGGCGTTCCAACTTCACCACCACGGATTACAGCGATGCGATGGAACAGAGGTCTTACAGTTAAGAACCGTCCGGACACCTATCGACCAGAACAAATTGAAGCGTCTTTCTTTATGTAAAAACTGCTTGTTCAACTTATAGCAATCCCCGTGAAGTCCTGTCCCGTTCTAATTACTTATGTTGAGTCTCCAAACGATATAGTAATAGTAGCATCCTGCATAACATCATTCGTCCAATAGCGCCGTTTAGGTAAACAGCCGCGTACGTCTCGGCCTCCACGTCCGAGGTATTTCAGAAACGTGGCCCGCGAGCGTATCTCGAGGAGCGCAGCCGACTCCGCAAACACTGACCGTAGATTAGATAAGGGCGGATGTTCTCGGGAGATGTGGCGCGCGTTTGCTCAGAGCTACCGGCTGATAAACACGGTTTCTTCCACCGTACCGGAGGACGTTAAACAAAGTCTGCCTAGTAAGTAAAGTAACAGCCTATACATGACCCACTGCTGGGCAAAGGCCTCCTCTATACATAGAGTATCAGGGCATAGTCCACCACGCGGCCACAATGCGGATTGGCGGACTTCACATATGTTCGAAATATATATATTTTTTGTTATTATTTCGAAAATATGCAGGTTTCCTCACGATGTTTTCCTTCACCGCGAAGCACGTGATAAGTCAGCACTTAAAGTTAAAAACTTCATTGGTGCGAACGTTTAGCTCAGTGGCTAGAGCGTCAGGCCGCGAATGCCGAAGACGTGGGTTCGATTCCCACAGCGGCGACAATCTTTTCGCACTTTTTCTACATATTTTAATGTTCAATCTAAGTGCAAAGATTAGCACTATAAACAATTTAAAATTTCTAAAAAAAAAAAAAAGCAATGGCGACATCTCTCGTTCGAATTATCGTTGTAAAACGATATTCGAAATTGTTTGTATGCTGGAAAGGATATAACAATAGATGGCGCCAAGCATTGCTTCAAAATGCTAAGAAAACAATGTAGAGGAATGCGTTAAGATTTTCGTCGGTGTGGTAATCAGCCGTTTAGCTCAGTGGCTAGAGCGTCAGGCCGCGAATGCCGAAGACGTGGGTTCGATTCCCACAGCGGCGACAATCTTTTCGCACTTTTTCTACATATTTTAATGTTCAATCTTAATTGCAAAGATTAGCACTATAAACAATTTTAAATTTCTAAAAAAAAAAAGCAATGGCGACATCTCTCTATAAACAATTTAAAATTTCTAGAGCAATCGTTTTCTAACCGGATAAACAAAGGCGAATAATTGTGCATGGAGCAGTTTACAATTTAACCAGTTGTTTAAAGCCAAGCCTTAAGTGTATATCACCGCTCGTTTGACTTAACTCGACCATAATTAGGGTTCCTCCAAAAGCTTCAGTAGCGGAGGGAACAATTGCGGCTCTCGTGATTGTAAAATGCAAAACTGACGCGGGCATCAAACGGAGTGGAATTAACGAAACGTAACACGGTTTGTACAACAAAAATAATTGCGGTCGGCTCTAACAGCATAGTTAATGGTGTTAGCACGTCATTAACGAACAATAGCGTTCCGCGAGCCGGCATATGGCGGTGGGAGCGACGTTTTAATGAGAACGAGACAACAGAGAGTGAGGTGCGAAGGACTCGAACCGCCTACCTTTCCCCCGACGCCCATAAGGCACCGATAATGTGCCAAATTGGAATTACGGCTCGTCTCGAGCGTGACGTAATTGCCGGCCGCACGCGATCTGTCTATCAGAATTATTTTCGTATGGGCCCGTTTTTTCCATGCACCCCGCCAGGGCCATGGGGTGCGCTGCAGTCCAGCGCACGCAAGCGTCAATACGGATAATTGTTTCATTATTCCGTTATTAACTCTACTCATGCGGCAATTTGTCTTCGCACGCCTCCGTCTGCACCCTCGCAACTTGCCGTTTTGTTGGTCACATTGTGGTTTGTTATTCTTACAGCCTTTTGTATTTTGAATTATTTGTAGTATCAAACCTCGTAAGACGTTATCAAAACTTCTTGTTAAGTAATGTCTACGTGAAATGACAGAAAATTTGTGCTTAGGTTTTCTTTAGGAACTGTTACTGTTGTAAAGGACTTTTTTTATAAACTGACTGCGTAAGATATTCATATATAAATATGGACTTGAAAACGTTTCATAATTAAATAACAGCCAATGATATCAATCACATGTTACTACACACATTCTCGTCAATCCCAACGTCGTAACAAATGCGGTCGATCTCCGGCGGCCGCTCAAGTCGGAAAGCGGAGCCGAAGATTCCTAATGTTCACTTTTAATGGGGAGCGCTCTTAAACGGAGCGATTTCGGCCAGCCCCGGCCGAGGCGAGCCGCTACGTGGCGCAACAATATCCCGGGAGGGTCGTAAAACGCGAGAGCAGTAAAGTCCGGCCTCGCGTCTAAAAGCCGCCGGGGCGTGTCGGCGACGCCCAGCGCTTCAGCCGCGCATGCAACGCTGCAGTCTTCATTAACAGCACATGTACCTCAGACCCAAGCTCCTCGAATCGATTCCCCCCGCATAAAATTGCACGTCAATACTCCCTAAGGAGCCGTGATAGCTCAGTGTCCAGGCGCTTTTATTCAATATATTCGAGCAACCTGAGTTCAATCCGCAGTGGTGGCACCAATGAAATTGTTAACTTTAAGTGCTGACTTATCACGTGCTCCGCGGCAAAGGAAAACATATTTTCGAAACAATAACAAATAAATATTTCGAAGATATGTGAAGTCCGCCAATCCGCAGTGGGGCCGCGTGGTGGACTATGCCCAGTGGGACATGTAGGGGCTGTTACTTCACTTTGAAATTTTGCTCTCTAAATAAACTTTTTCTTACGCGGTGCCATAATGAAAATGCATGAGCCTAACACGAAGCGAATCAATTAGTCAAATAGATTGAAATCAATCTAGCGATATACAAGTAGTTAACGATTCCTCGAGATCGTATCTATCGCCCGGCGTCCACCGTGTCAGGTATGTTAATGAACAGAAATGCGAACTGGTCGAGCAAAAATGCCGAGGCGAGTGTCACACGCAGCCGCGGCGTTGGCCAATTAAAAAGATGTTAGCGAGCGACGTCCTCCGTCAAAAATATCAAAGCGCGTCCGCCTGTGGAGCCTCGCGGGCGCAGTGGAGCCGCGCTGATGTAATAATTAGGTTGTAGATCAAAGAGTTCGATGGACGAGCTCTTAGCCGCCATGCCCGCCTGGTAATTGCGCGGACAGGGCGGCCTTTTGATGGCCCATTCGATGGCCGCATTTGCGTAATGCGCCCACCGATTTACGTCCGTCTCTCTTTCGCTCTAAATAAACACAGCTTCATCCAAGGCGGAGCGATCGGGGATTCGCACTTGCCTCTCGTCGTATTCGGGTAATCAGTTCCGTTATCAATATTATCAAGTGTTATCGTTCGGATCACAAGACTGAGAGTCCGATAAGATGGAGATTATAAAAGATTTTCGACATTGTTTGAGAGGTTCTCAAAACTCGGCGAAGAGTTAACAAAGATAAGCGAGCGGTCGGGTTTATTTTTGCACTATTTACCTCAAAACGGCCGCTTCCAAGCGGACCGACCGGTTTCGTTGTTCGGCCCCGCCGCCGACACTAAGACGCCCGGACTAATATAGTCAAATGGAGATATATCATCAAAAGATAGCATCGGCCCAGCGACTTACGACTCCTAAGGCGACCCTAAACAAGACATTCTGCTCTTATCTGATGGCTCTCGTACATCAAACATTTACGGAGCGAAGACGGGAGCTCCGCCGCGGCCGGCTTTATCTTTACAGCATCGCAACATCTCGGCTAATCTACTTGATAGTGCGCCGTGCAAACAAAGGGCACCTCAAACGGCTCAAGTTGGGCAATGCCACACCATGGAGCGAAGTAGACCGCTGCTCTAATAGAGAACGAAGCAATCGCGTCTCAACTCTTTAAAGTTAAGCAAACGATACAGGATTTGTTTACACCGAAATACTGCTACTTATTACTGCTCTCGATTAACATTACCTTGTCTTGCAGTGACATAGACAATTAACAAGATTGTGTTTACGCGAAAATAAAATAATTATAGATTTCATAACGGATTCCGAACGTTATGAACACTGTACTTCTTAATGTCAGAGTTAACTCGGACTACTGAATTACGTACTAATTATTTTAGTCAAATTACTTCATATTTCGCGATATGCGTTTAATACTTTTATCTAACCAAATTGAGAATAATTATATGCAGGCCAAGGCCATTAAATACTTACGGATTCCGGAAATCAACTTACTCTGTTGATTTTAGTGAAACTCAACGGGTTGTATCAAATTATTAAAATTTTTGCTATCCATAATGATAAATCGATTGTTGCGTTTGGCGTTTGTAACTCCGATAAACGTATATTTGACGTACTGTCAACCTGGCCTACCATCAGCTTCCAAATTTTCAATTTTAACTTGAACCGCGCAACAAACTTATTTTAACTTAGTGCAGTTGTGTTCAGGTCTAAATGTAATTTTATTCTTAACAGGATAATGTGGGATGTGGCTTTATGATGCAATATGACAAGATGCGAAACAAGGATTTATTCATCTGCACCTTGGGAGTCCCCTGCATCGAATCAGTGACGCGATGTATAACATGCCAAATCAAAGCATTCGGACGTCGTATCGGTCTCCGTGCCAACTGCGCCGGAAGCACAGCGGCATGCGTGTTTGTTATTGGAGGCTGATATCAAAGGAGCTGCCAGCGCCGCTTCTGGGAACCTCACCCGCGCCACCCTTTGTCTTCGCGCGCGTTAACATTAGCCGCACCTATTCGACTAATCGCGCCCGCCCCTTCAAGCGCGACGCTAATAATAGACACCAGGCTCGCAGCAATCGTGCGATTATATGAATAAAGTGTAATGAAACGAATCGATACAGTATCGATGACACTCATGACGTCCTAGTACTCCGGTTTGTTTAACCGTCTTCTTCGGATTTTTCAATACATAATTAGATCTACCGGTCGGTTTGTTAAGTTTAAGTGACCGATTTCTGGAACCCTGATCATCGTAGAAGTCAACTAACCAGCTGTCAAATGTTATTTGAGTTGCCAAAAGGATTGTTAAACTCTTTGAATTGATGTTTTTATGCCGGAGCCCAATTTCCAAAAAGGTTGTCAACGCATCTGCAAACCCTCGGGGGAAGCAGATGTCTATGGGCGGCAGTATTCACTTAACATCAGGTGAACCGCCTGCTCGTTTGGCAACTTTTCACATAAATAAAAAATATCTGATCATTATGAAGATCATTCTGATCAATTCAGAGAGTTTAACAATCCTTTTGGCAACTCAAATAATATTTGAAAATCCATTTGACAGTTGATTAGTTAACTTCTACGATGATCAGTGTTTCAGAAACCGGGCGATGGAATTACACTTGTAAAATAAGCGTGATGACATTTGGACTTGTCAACAAAGGTCCCGTGAGGTCGTTAGCCTGGACTCTTCCTAACAAACGGAAACCATTAATCGGTAGTCAATGTAATATCTACCCGCCAAGAGGAATATCTATACGCGTCAATATCAGAGTCGGTTGTCGTTACAGTTTTCACGAGCAGACGCCGTCGGTGCGGTCGCAAATAATGGCGGATGGCCGGCGGCCACCGGAGTCTTGGCGGCGCCCCGAGATTTATCGGTTATTAAGGCGCGCCGTCGTTCCCGCGCAGGCCTCCGCCCCGCAGGTGTGGCGTCTCGCGAAGTCGTACGATAATGAAGCGATCGCCGCGCGGCCCCTGTCGCGAACAATGGCCGCGCTAATTGTGCCATTTGTGCGTCCGAATAGAGAATCCCGCGTTCGGCGGGTGCGGCGTTTCATTGCGGCCGAGTTTTAATGCGAATCGGCGGGGCTTTGTGCCGTCCAAGGGCGTCGCGAGCGGCCCTCATGAAAATTTCATCCGCCGCCCGATCGGCGCGCAAAAGCCCATTCAGCGGATTACAGCGCTGTAAACGCTCACGGATGCGCTCGCCTATTAATTGCTGCTCGGCGCTTTATTTCGCTTAAGGGTGTGACAGGATAAAGAACATCGCGTTGACGCCCCTAACAATTGTCGTTCCGTCTTGGCCACGTTGAACGAAGTGGATTTTTATCGCGTATCATTTTGATTGATGCGCGCAAACGTTCCCGTGGATAAATCAAACGAGCCAAATGCGAGACGATGGCTTGTTATGACGTGGTGGACGCGCGTCGGCAGGAAAGTTTTTGTAACGCGTCCGATCCGGGCGAACGCATCGCGGCCCGATACCGGGAACCGTTGGATTTCGGCGACGCCTTTGATACGAAAGCGTTGAGCGGGTTACAGCGTTGCCTGGAACCGCTTGTTTGTTTGTCGGGCCGTAAAACTGTTGGGAACCGTAAACGATCGTGTGTGGCCGGCCCTTACGGCGAAACGCGAACAGATGGACCGACATCAAAAGACTCTGTGGCGATAAAATGCAACGTTGATTTGAATCACGAGTAACAACTCAGTACTAGAGACATGATGCGGAGTTGTTTCCAGTTCTTTCTTTCTCGCCGCGCACCATACGTCCTCCCCCAACGAGACGTGCGAGGGTAGTGAGGGCGGGGGTGAGACATTCCCATTTTCCAGGTATTTCCCGCACTCCATATTGGTGGGATTTGTCGAGAGCCCCGCATCGCCGGCTCGCAATCATTAGCCACGAAATCCCCTATATCTATGGGGCTCTGGTACCGGGCGGAACTATTGCCAAATCCTTGTGAAAATACCCTTTTCGCCGACTCTTCGCGAAATGGGAAAATAAATCTAATATCGTATATTAAAACGACGCTGGTGATGTGACAGATACATTTGCATAAATATATCGAATATATCTAACAATTCATTTCTTTATACTTTTATGTATCTAAGGATCACGCGGCGAAGCTTATAATGTCGGTCAATTGCCTATAAATAATCGATCTTGAAACAGTAACGATTGAGCAATTATAACTTTCTAATTCTCCATTATCAGACGTCCGCGGCGCCCGGGTAACGCCCGGATCGCACGGGCGTTATTAACCGGGATTACCGGATCTCTTCCCGGATCCCCGGATATAGGGATTTGCTCCGGGGATCGGGTACTAGTGGAAATGATAAAAGATACGCGCGCTACGCTTTCGCCCGGCACTAAATGATAATGTAGAATCCCCTTTCTCCAACAAAGTAACATACAATATCTGAATCATTGTCTCTCATTTATGTGTCGCGTAGCGGGACGCGGTCCGCATTTAAATTTCACAACACCTCATAAATTATTTATTTTTAATGACGGGAAATGTTAAGTTTTTTGTTTGGTAATTTGCGCGGCCACTAGACGAGCTTCACACCACGTCGGTTTCAATTTTTATTGCCATGAATACATTAGCGAAACCCGCTTCCCACCTGTCAATAAACATCAACTTACAGACGGAAACATGTAAATTTACTAGTTTATATTATAATTGGATCGCTCAAAAGTTGGTTTAAACTGATCATTGTTACCTACTCCGTACATCTATCTATTCGATATCATTCGTTATGAATATTGATGTCAGTCTCTCGCTATTTCGTCGAATAAACGCAACTGATGTGTCTAGTTTTCGTGCGGTACGTATAGGATTTTATTATTGAAACGGGTTGTGATGAATCGTGTTTATCGATGTCGCCAAACAAACAAGCGGCGTGTTTACATTACTGCATGTCGGGGACACGGCATCCCGATATTTCCGTATTTCTCCTTAGATAAAACGCTGTCAGCGTCGAATTTACGGGCGACTTATACCGAACATAAATAACAGAAGGGGTATCGAAAATAGACGGGAATCCAACGGGGATTTCGACGGCGGATCCCTAAAGGAGGAAAAAATAATGAACAGGCGGCGGCGCGCGGAGCGGCGGGTACCAGGCGCGCATGAGGGCTAGGCGTGTAGGCCGAGCGGATCCCGGCCGATATCAGCGCTACAAGCGATCGCACTTAACCGCGTCACTCGCACGTATCGCAGCGCTGCAGCGCTATCATTCAGCGTCGCCCGCCGCATTAGCGCTGTCGCCATGCCGATAATTTATAGAGCATCTCGGCGCGATGCCCTCCTAGTCACTCGGTGGATTGGTGCCGGATTCATACGAATTAGTTTAACCGCATACCATCCTTCAATTTGGGTCGTTTCGCGCACAGATCTCCACCAGCTTTTACCGCCACACCTGTCCAGCAGCCAATAGTTTAGCCCGAGGGCCATAACCTGATATGTTGAATTTCTCTCCGAGACGTTCTTACATTTAGCGGCGGTGTAAGTTTTCACCGTTCGATTATGTTAAAATCTTTATACGAAACCGGTTATCGGTTTCAGGTTATGGCACTAGAGTTGGCAGCAATAAATGTTCAAATGACTAATATCATAATAAACTACTTTCGTCTAACGGTTTCGATCATCGGCTTATATTTATTCAGATCAGTTGCAGCGGCTGGCTGTGATCTCGCGCCGACCATAAATTAAGAGTGTTTGATTAGCTTCGCAACTGATAGGTTTGATTGATTGAACAATTCTTTCGTGACAATACACGTTTCACAAGCTGTATTCTATAACAGTATATATTTATTTGATGTCCACTCCAGTGTCAATAAATAACAAACAAAAATGACAACAGTGTAAAGTTATTATTATTTTTACCAATTATTTTCGATTACACCTACTTAAACGCGTAAGAAACTGTTAAGAACTAGTAAGAGATCGTTGGTTGGGCTTCGGCGACCTGTTAACGCCCAGACGGCACCATGGCTGCGTTTCCAGCGTCCCAATGGAATTGGGAGCGTCGTGATTGTCAAAGCGGCCTCTCGGGTCACGTGGGGTATAAATAGACGGCCGCGTCAGGCGGCTGTTGGCTCGTATGCACCGCTATTATTGTATATAAGCCGCTTATTAAGACCGACTCCCACACGCCCGAGAGGCACGCAACCCGATAAGGGCGGTATCACATGCACATACCTCGAGAAAGTCAAAGCGATAGACGCTGATTAAGTATACGCGCGCATTCAACGCACCGCGACATATCTCTATAGAACACAACACTTGGAATAAGATTCTAAGTAGAAACGGACATATAAGAGTTACATTCGATATCACTCCGTCTCATTAGAGAAACAAATCAAAGAAGATAATATGAAGATGGTACAGTCGTCTGTCATAGCGTGGATTATTTATTATAAAGCAAAAGAATATCTTTGTTTGTAAACAAGTGCCGTAATAAAAAACCGCGCGCATGTGAACCGTCTCGTATCCAGTAAGTGGAATCATACGTACATTTCCAAGTACGGGCGCGTCACAGAGTGCGGCCAGTGGCACCGGGCGCGGTTAACGAGCGGTTAAGTCGAGCCACAGATGTACGCCACATTGTTAACTATATATAAAATAAGTTTATCTCTCACTATGTGGTATATGGCAGGAATATTTCAGTTTTAATCGACATTTCGAAAACAAGTTTATATATCAAAAAAGTTTATATCATAGTTCCATTTCACGAGTCTGCAGTGTGATAATTTTGTGCTTCAGAAGTACATAGAACGTGGACGTTTAATAATCTCTTAGCGAGTGATACATTAGTTGGTTTTCCATCCATTATATTTCGCGCACATGCTATAATTATGCTTTCAAATGTTTGTCTATGGTATATAAGGTACACATTTTTGTTTTAAGTTTACACAATATGTCAAAAGATGATATAAGTAATTTAAATACGTATCTCCCTAGATCATCCGCCGCGTATCCAAGCGTCAGTTAGCGAGTGTTAAGACGCGGCTAACAGCGCGCGTGAGCACTGGGCCGTCGTGCTCTCCTCGCGGAATGTAAATAGAATTAAACCGGCCAACAACCGGGCATGCCTCGAGACCGAGCCGGGGAAAAAGTTCCTTTAATTATTTATTTAGTACTAGCCGCGGCACGCGGACCCGCTCGCGGACTTTGACCCGGCCTTGTAGCCAGCCGCGCGCTGTATAAAAAAATGCACATCCCAACATGACTCGCTTGAGAAATTTCAAAGTTGGCAATAGGTACTCGTTACTAACTAATCACCGTCTTTATTGCTTGAATAGTTGCAACCATAAACTCCCCTTAATTTTTTTTGAATAAAGATGTTGGTCGACGACGATGATCTGACAATTTAGTGATGTGTGTAATTTAAAATCTTTATTCCAAACCAAGTTAGCAATGGTTAGTTAACAAGTCAAGCTCATATGATGCATTCTTCCGTGGCATTTCTCTTCCATTAATAACTTTGTCCGTCATATTTATGAGCGTGGCGTGTGTGTGACGATAGTGCACGGCGCTCGTTGGCCGTCACCTGTCAAACTGTCACGTATCAGCTGTCGAAGTGTCAAATTCGTCGCGATAGCGCGATAGTAGCTCCTTTCAGGAGGCGATAAGAATTGATAGCGTGAGGTACTCAAGCATTGTCTTGTACTCCGAACTTGTACGCTGTCCGTGAGAAATGAATCAATAAACAAATGTTCGTTAATACAAGTGAATCAGTAAATATATTTTCGTATATTGTATATTAGAATAAATCATTGGAAGTAGGTACTTGGTGCTTTTTGTTAGTGTTTATTGAAATAATATAATTATCAATCCAACAATAACGAAATTGAGATTTCTTTCTGAGATTTTTTAACCTTTAGTCTATACTGAACGCCTCTAGATCTTTTTTTTTATCTACGAAAGTGGCAAACGAACCGGCGGTTCACCTGATGTTAAGTGATAACCGCCGACATGGATATCTGCATCACCCAGATCTTCACGATAGATTCGAACCCGATGAGATCCAAACTTCCCTCGGTCGCATACGGCCGATGCATATGCTGGGTATTTGTGTTAAAAGCTGTTCTCTTTGTTCCAGATGCGATGGGTGAGTGTTCCCGCTCGAGACAACAGGAACATCGTAAATCACGGCGCGCCCGTAAAACGGCCGTGTTAACAAAAATTCCAATCTTCATAAAACTCCAAAAAATAATTACGGTCGCCCGGTGCCGCGTTTTTTTTTACTCCTCCCGCCTTTTTTCACTCCACGCAAAATGAGTCAATCGCCCAACACTAGGAGTCGAGGATTCGACTTGCGTCGTAAACTTTGATTAGGTCATTAAAGCATGTTAATTTATTAGCTCTCCGCTTTCGTTCGACCTCGGCACGGGAATATAGTTCTTATGATCTCTAGTACACGACCCATATTTCGTCGGACGTTCTGTGTGCCCCACGACCTTTTGGAAGTGGAACGCGGGCGTGTAATCGAAAATCACCTTTACTGTAATTAACATCGCGGTGTAAAATTTCGAAGTTCACGGAGTTGGTTCACTTTTTTTTAAAATGTTATGGTTATGTTATTGATTACACAGAGAATCTTAGACTCGATTAATTTTATAACAACCCCATCCAATTTCACCAAACCGTTACGTGCTACTGAATTTAAGGAAATATCCAATACGCAAGTTATTTATTGATTTTATTATTGATTAACTTTAAATGTTAACCAACGAAACACAAATTATTCTATTACTCATATAAACATACTTCAATTATATTTATTTATATATTAAATTAACAGTATCGTAGAACAAAGAACTTGAGTACGTAATTTATCATTGAATGTGTCTTTAATTTATAAGACGATTCAAAATGGCGCGGTCAATAGAACGTCAAAAATTAGGCGGGAAATGATGTGGGCGCGGGAAACGAGGCGTTCATTAGCCTCGTATTTCTCGATGAATCTCGATGCATCGAATAAATTAAACGCGAACCGATAATCGAACGCGGCGGCACACTCGAACGACCGCCTACCGGTAAACACAATTAAAATAACCGTCCCGCATTTCGCTCGGCTCGCCGAAATGTGTGAGCAATATCTGGCTGGCACCTTTACCCATAGAATATCCATATACTACGCTTTAAAAACAACATTAGATAAAAAGTAAAACTAAAGTAGCATTCCCTATGAATTAGTATGTTTTTTTTAGTATTCTAGTTGGTCAAATAGAAAACTGACGCAATAAAAAAATTAATATCCCAATTTAACTAGTAACTTGACCAAAATTTCACATAAATGAAACTTTTCGTTTATAAAAATTACGTTGTATTCGCATTTTGCTCCCAATGTAGTTTTATTTATATAAAATTATTCTTAAAGTGTCATATATCTTTTTTCTCTGAATGTTTTCTAAAAACTTTCAAAGTCTTATTGACTTGACTGTTCATTCACATCATGCGGTATCAGCGTACAATATTCATTTCAGCTATAATGAGCTTTGTTTCTTGTCGGTTGGACATTGTCAGTTAGCACTTCTCATTGATAACCCTGGGTTCTGTATAATTGTTAACTAGGAATTTTATTCTTGCCGTAATTTCTAAGCTATCGGCCTCTGTATTGGTTCGTACGTTCGACTTCACTAGGTTAGGACGTTTCTCCGTGATTATGCTATCCTGGTACTTGACAAAAAGCTGTTTGCGCTAAAATAACGGTATAATTTTGACCGCCATCAATGCGAGAGGAAATAACATTTGTATTACGTCACAAGTGGAGAACTCTGTTCTAATATATTTACAATACGCATAATTTTAGACAATCAATAAGACTGAAGGACAATATTAATGAAGGATATTAATAAAAAGAGCTCATATTAATAAAAAGTAGAGACAATTTTAACTGTCTCGAAACTGCCAAAATGGTCATATCGAGAGACCTCAAAAATAAACTATTCTATTCGCCATCTATATTAAGTGAAAAAACTTCTCCTATTTAAACCCGTTAACATAACAATGTTGAATTGGCCAATACACCTAATACCGGGATAATTCTAAGACTAATCCGTCGAGAGAACAATGCAGCCTCCCCCCGTGGTCTGCGGACGTTGCAAGCGGATCCCTAAAAGTGATTAATGGTCCACCACAGAGTACTGGCTCCAAAGCCGATACGTATCTAACAGCAATAATTGTTAATTACGAAACACAATCGGGTTCCGCTATTAACGTTAGGAGACGAAACAAACGATCGTTCCCCCTGACGCCTCTAATATTTTGTAAGATCGAGAGAACCAGTCGATAGCATTTCTATTCTAAGAATGATTTGAATGTTGAATGGTTTTATACTATGAGACAAACACCCAGATGCGGAACAACTATCTGTGGGTCACACCAATAGTTGTCCCGTGTGGGAATCGTACCCACGACCTCCGACGCCGAAGCCAATACTTAAGATAAAGTTTAAACATGCAATGTAGACAGGTATTTAAAATAAAAATAGAAACGGCTAAGTAAAAAAACTAAGAGTAGTAAATGAAAAAAAAATCACCTCCCACTTTAAATTAACGCAGAAACGACATAAGCTATACGTTTTTCACAAAGCATACTAGAATAAGAAAATGTGTAACAAAGAAACACTGTGTAAGAAAATAATAATCTCACTCATCGGTGCATAGCGCTGGGATTCGAACCTGCTATACAAGCTCCTTAGTTGCCATAGCCGATAAGTAACCGCAGCGCATAAGGAGTGAAAAATGTATTAATTATTGATAACGGTTAACATTAACATGTTATTATTTGGACCTGTGACGAACTGTACGCGTGAGATTCAACTTAGATAATCTGTGGTGACGTTTGGCTGCCATCGCGCTATTGTATATCAATTGACGTCTTTACAATTCATGTATGAATGAAACGTCTAAACGGCGCGAAAGGATTGTGACCTTTCAATACGAAATATTAAACAACCTGTATAAGGTCATTGAACTCGTACGTCAAACATGTTGATATTTTTGCGACCCCAGTTGACTTAACGGTATTCTTTCACACTAAATTCCATATCAAAACGCAACTACAAATAATAAAACGTTAAAAGTATATATTTTAGTGTGACAACAATAGCAATGTAAACGTCAAGTCGCCACCAAATGAAACTCGTAAGTAGGGCACAGATTGAAAATTCGCGCGCAAAATCTAAGATGGCGCCGCCGACCTCCGCGGCCCGTATATCAATGCTGATTTACGCGCCACGGTCGAGGTCGACGGCCGCCCGAATTTCCTACAGAAATGCACTCGCCGAGTAATTTATTTGTGACCATCTATTATTTTGTAGACTCACGAGGTCCTAAACGCAGCTGACATTAATATATCATTTTACGCGACGGCGCGACTCGCTATCGCTCCGTCTCTCTCGCGCCGCCAACTCGCGAACTGGCTGGAGAGGGACGGCGCACGCGGGCCAGAGTAGTTTGCGTTTTCACTTTTTATAGTAGCAATATATTTGATCAGCTGATCGCCATGACGTTTACAGCTCGGGCGGAGTGTAATGTATTTCATAATTTATATTATAGTGGTTGTTTTTTCTTTCATTCGAGTTGACTGAGGTCGGGATTTGTTTATAACGTTGTATTGTTTATCTCCTAGTAAAATTGGTCAGCTTATAAGGCACATGACCACATAATAGGAATTACTATAGCTTTCTTCAACTTCGGATCTTTACGCATTGGTCGTTACAAACAGCAATTAAAGATAATGGCGGTTGCCCCACCTCTGACCGCAATCTTCAATTGCTTTTAATGAGGTTTTCATCTTTTGAAATTTTAGTAACAATTAATAATTTATTACATCATTCACTTGGCAAAGGACTTCCTTAGTCAAACGCTTATAAGCTATGGAGAGAAATCATAGTTTATGGCATTCCGTAAGAACACCAATATTTTTGTTAGATATACTTGTTTTATTAAATTGCCAATGAACTTTATATCGATTCCAGGTGTTTACTCTCTCTTCTTTGAATAGTTCGGTTCAGGAATATCGCACATATTTAAGATGGACACCGAGCGATCAGTATTCTTCATGCTGTCGTTGATACTTTTGCCTGGTGGGTAATTACCAACCCACCAGGCAAAAAGCTCTCATTGTTTGCCAAGTGTGCCATATGTTCAACTGTTGGCACCGTCTCGGCTGTCCTCTGCCGTCGTGACGGGGCATCTGTGTCGCACATGACTTCGCTTACGATCCCGCTGGAGACGGACCCCTTGCGTGTTTGATCCCATCAGCGTGAACATGGACGTGTTAAGTAATCATCCTTTTATGCTTGGACGCTTTGCGGTACGTGTGTTTAATAGGAAATAATTAGACTCACGATACCCTGCAGCAATTTAATAGTGCGTTACGTCTAAACTCATCTCGCCGCGAAAGTTTGTAATAGCTGATCCCTGAACGGTCTTTTTTTTTACCTTACATGACAGGTACTAAAACCGTACGTTTGGAGGGACGCCGGGATTTCTTATGGAACGTACTGGGCGTGAGCACGCCTTGGAGAAGAGTGAACGTTCCCCGATTCCCTCGCCATCTTGCAGCAGCTCGAACCACTTCGAGCTGCTGCCAATCCGAGTCCCCTTTTAGTCGCCTTTTACGACAGGCAGGAGATACCTTAGTCCTATTCTATGAGCCCGGTCCGGAGCCAGCCTGAGCGGCTTTGAATAATATTTGTAATGGAGGTCAACCAAGGGATAACCATAGTAAAGAAGTAAAGTAACAGCTTATTCATGTCCCACTGCTGGACAAAGGTCTTCTGTACAGAGGTTATCAGGGCAAAGTCTGCCCTACGGCCCCACGGTGTACACGTATGTGTGGACTTCACACATCTTCGAAATATTTTTTGTTATTATTTCTAGAATATGCAGGATTCCTTACGCTGTTTTTCTTCAGCGCTTAGCACGTGATAAGTCAGCAATTAAAATTAAAAATTTCATTCGTGACGGCACTGGGAATTGAAGTCAGGTTGCTCGAGTACACTGAATTAAGGGCGAGCGCCCGGACACTGAGCTATCACGGCTCTTGGATTACTATCTCATCATCATCATCAATTCAGCCTGTTTGAGTTCACTGCTG